TCCGATCGCTTTTTCAAAAGAACATGTAAACCTCAATTTTTGAGGAAGAAGGTTCTTTCGAAAAAAGGGGTATTTTTTTTTAAAGAACCGCGTCTAGACTGCTTGCTTTTTTGAAAAAAACATTGAAAAAAGCAATTGGAAGAAGATATGCAAATTCCTGCCAAATTTGCAAATCTTCTTTCAAAAGTAAAACATAGTCTAGACATGCCCTTACATCCCTAGTCTGAAAAATAAATTTTAGTGAATATTTTCACTATATTCAAAAGTCTTGGAATTCAGAAAAATAAAAATAATAGAAGTTCCTGGTTGATATTTTCTTAGCATTCTTTTTTCTTGAAATCTTGCATCAGTTCCTCTATTGTCATTTACCACATTCTCCCCAAAGGCCTTTTACAGCTAATATGAAAAATTTGCAGGGTTATTTTGTATCAGCACCATCTTTCAAAAGACAAGTAGTCCTATGCTACCTTAGGGTGCATCTGTACAGCACAGTTATTTTGAAATGACTCATGTTATTTCAAAAAAACAGTGCGAGCGTCTACACAAAAATTCAGTTATTTTAAAAAGTATTTGAAATAACGGACTGCTTATTTTGAAATATGTAAACCTCATTCCACGAGGAATAATGTTTATTCCAGAATAGCTATAATGTAGGGTCTCCACAGCTGCTGTTTCAGAATAGATCCTCCTCAATAGCCTTTCAAAGTAATTATTCTCCTCTGCCTCCTAGGGCTCTAAATCAAGGTAGCGCAACCACCTTGGACTAATTTTGAGGCTTCCCTGTAGTGTAGATGTGCTATTTCAAAATAAGCTATCTCAGAAAAAAATTACGAAATATCGTATTTTGAAATAAGCTTACTGTGTAGACTTACCCTTAGAGACTAACAAAAATATATAGTATCATGAGTATTCATGGGTAAAATGTAAGATGAGATGGATTCTACCAACAAAGGATCATACTACTATATTTTTTGTTAGTCTCTAAGATGCCACAGGACTACTCATTGTTTTTAAAGTTACAGACTTACATGGCTCCCCCTCTGAAACTTTCAAAAGGCAGATAGCGATGACATTTGAAAAAAAGTAGGAGCCAAGATTTTGCTACAATTTATAAATCTTGTTTTTCTTTTTATTAAAAAAAGCAAGACGCTATAGCCCATAGAGTGTGAGCAAAAGTGAAATTAAGTGGTTTCTAAAGTGAAAATATGCATTTGTTTGGAGTCTTGTTAGCAGAAAGAATGGAAGAAATAAAAACCATGTCTCTCACCCACAACCTAACCACTCATTCTCTCTCTCTCTCTCTCTCTCTCGGGTGACCATTCTTATCTTCATTCCATTCTAAGGTCTGGTAGGGTTTTTTCTTATGTTTTGCCTTAAGTTTATATTTTCTCTTCTTACAGAATTAACTGGAATTCATATCGAAACTGAAATGTCTTTTAAGGACATTCTGGAGTTAAAACACACACACGCACTCACGCAGAGAAAAAAAACAGTCCTCAACTTTCTCTCTAGAATGCTTTGTAGATTTTTTTGCAAACATCTTATGCACTTATGTAACTGCCTGCAGGTGGAACCAAACCTGGAATCTGTGGAGCTTAGTGGAGGAGCCGCTACCTTTTGAGCTATAAAGCCAGCTGGCATTCAGCTTAGACTGTAGAGCTCACTCATTCTTATCTTTCTCTGTATGTGGTCTAAGTGCCGCTACATGGGATAGTGAACCAACGCAATTGGTGTGTGCGTTACACTTACACATGCTATCTCTGAAAAGAAGAGCCATATAAATTAATCTGTCTGGTAGTTGGGCACCTCTGTGTGTTAGGACATTTAAAGTGGAAAAAGTCCCTTTTTTGTGCACAAACTGTGGAAGCCTCAATACTTGCCAGTGACTTTGTGGTAAAATTCAGAAGTGTCATTGCAAAAAGAAAACCACTTCCATGAGAGGAATACAAGCTCTTACCCGAGTTCCTTTTGTGGTGATGTACAAGGGAAGAGATGTTCTCACTGTTTACAGAGCTTTAGCTCCTGCCGAATATATCGCAGTGACCACTAGGTGACCACTCTAGCCAGCACCTATACCTGCCGTTCCTTCTAGAAAAGCACCAAGAACTTTGAAACTCCGCTTCCTATTTTCTTGGCAAGTGCTCACTTATTATCTGGCCAGGTGACAATGCCCTGCCTGGCAACAATGCTAAGCTACTGGAGCAGGGAGAGTGGGCTATGCAAGGACCCTGGATGCCTTGCAATTCCAGGAGAGCTGCACTGTGGGATAGCTACCCTCAGGTTGCTGCTCTCAGTGATGGAAGTGCTGCAAATGTAAAGGCTCTCTGATGCATGTGCCCCTGAGTACACAAACCAGAACTTTTCTTTTACTGGATCCCTATCACTGGTGAAACTGACAGCACAGAAATTCTGCAGCTGCGTCTAGACTGGCAAGTTTTTCTGCAAAAGCAGCTGTTTTTGCAGAAAAACTTGCCAGCTGTCTACATGGCCACTTGAATTTGCGCAAGAACACTGACGATCTAATGTATAATCATCAGTGTTCTTGCGCAAATACAATGACTCTCCCGTTCCGGAAAAAGCCCTCTTGCGCAAATGCTTTTGCGCAAGAGGGCCAGTGTAGACAACTGAGAACCATTTTGCACAAAAAAGCTCAGATGGTGAAAATGGTGATCGGGGCTTTCTTGCGCAAAACCACTTCTAGAGTGACACGGACGCTTTTCCGCAAAAAGTGCTTTTGAGCAAAAGTGTCCATGCCAATCTATACGCTCTTTTCCGCAAATGCTTTTAACAGAAAAACTTTTCTGTTAAAAGCATTTGCGGAAAATCATGCCAGTCTAGACGTAGCCTGCAAGTGTAGACAGCCTTTGTTACTGTAATCTGAAATGATGCATATTGGCCTGATGTGGGAGATTTTCTAATGTAGGACAAATCTTGTAAGCCAATTGGGGTTTTTCACATCTGAAATATCCACTGCAGCCAAATTAGTAATTTTTCCACTAGTTACCTAGGATTTTTAAGAAAAAGCTAAAAGAGGATGATCATTTTTAAAATGGATGCTTATCATGTGTAATTATTCATAGCCACCTTCATTGTGTTTGCTCTGTACCTGTGAGCACAAAAGTGGATGAGGAATAAACAGTCCTGTGTTATCTGCATTAACCAAAAGTTCTGTAGACTTATTCTCCCATGGTTGAATTGTCGCATATGATTGTTTCACAGGTTCATGAGAACCAATCTTCTTCATGGGAAAATGAGTACTACAGTTCCCCTGTAGCCAAAAAAACTCTGTGGGGTTATGTTGGGGGTTATATTCTGTGCTAAAATCTAGGAAAGCTTTCTTCACTACATCCCCCCCAAAAAGACTAGTGATATTTACACTGTCACATTTTGAAGGAATTACTTACAAATACAATATTTAATATCTGTCCTTAATTCAAAAAACTTACAGATGGCATTTCACATCTCTGTCAAATATTTGCTATATTTCATTATTTACATTTCCACAGTTTACGTGTGTAAACATATTGCTTCACAGATCTTTGGTTTCCTCCTTAGTTTTAAGTGTAGTAAAAAGCTTTATACTGTTAGGCTGTGTCTAGACTGGCAAGTGTCTCTCATGGAAAAACTTGCCAGCTGTCTACACTGGCTGCTTGAATTTTCACAAGAACACTGATGAGCTCATGTAAGAAATTAGTGCTTCTTGCAGAAATACTATGCTGCTCCCAGTCTTGCGCAAAAGGGCCAGTGTAGACAGCTCAGATTTGTTTTGCGCAAAAAAGCCCCGATCGCGAAAATGGCGATCGGGGCTTTTTTGCGCAAAAGCGCGTCTAGATTGGCCACAGATGCTTTTGCGCAAAAGTGCTTTTGCGCAAAAGCGTCCATGCCAATCTAGACGCTCTTTTCCGCAAATGCTTTTAACAGAAAACTTTTCCGTTAAAAGCATTTGCGGAAAATCATGCCAGTCTAGACATAGCCTTAGTGTCTTTCATGTGTATTGAGCATAACTCAAATGCTAACACTGCCTAATGTTTTCTTTAGTAGATGACTCTTCAGCTCCTGAACAGCCTCCGATGACCTTCTCCAGTCAGGTGATGTTGGTTGATGAAACCCCTGCAGCTGCCTCAAAATCTGGCAGAAACCCTGTAAAGAACCCTGACATAGAAACATCTAATCTGTCTCCCAGCCTGATTCCTGCACAACAGCCCACTATATCTCTTATCTCCGATGACAATACAGATGCACTGAGCGTAGATTCACTTACACTGGTCCCACCAGTTGATCCACACAGCATTCATACTTTCAGCTGCATTCCTCAGTCTTCCTTGCTGTCTGAAGTTTGCAGAGTGACAGAAGGAGAAGATTCTGATCAGAGTCCACAGGCAGACTATGATGAACAGTGATGAAAATGTTACTGGGTGCTCTTTATTTTGTTTAGGTGAGGTAATGGGGGCATTAATAAAGCCTCAAAGGCCTGTTGGTTCACAAGGAAGAAGCTAATTACTGAGTAACTCAACATACGGGCAACTCTTTAAAATAAAAATACATTCAGCATTTTTGAAGGAAATCTGTTTGAATCTGGATCTTGATATTTCAAATTCTTATTTAAAAGTCATAGAAATTGCCTATGGATGGTATTTGAAAAGGACTTGCACTACCAATACTGTGCCACTTGCTTGCACCATTTATCTGTTGGAAAGTGAAGAAACTTTGTGGGGCTTCGTGATATTTTACTTTTCTGAATATGGAGACACAGCAATTGCCAGAAAAAGGAGCTATTTGAAGGTATTATAGTACAGAGATGCTGTTTCCATTTGAAACAGTTTTTCTATTTTGTTGGTCTCATTCAGCTTGTAGAGGTATGGCAGGTCTGCATAAAAATGGACTGGCCACTTTCAGTATTGTAAACTTCAATATTGTATCCTCTGTGTAATATTTGTTTCAGTGTTTGACTAAAGGCAACATAAATATCAAGCAAATATTTTTTTATTAAAATTAAACAAATCCCTGATGTTATAACAATCAAGGCTTATTCAGGTTAACATAGGATTTTTTTGAGAGAGAGAGGTGCAAAGGGATTTGCCAAACAATGGAAGGTCCTTCCCAACATGGCCTATGCTGCCCCCAGCTAGGATTCTAGCCAAGCCCCCGCTGCTGCCTGTCTGGCTGTGACTCCCTAGGCCAGACCTCCATGTCTACCAAGGCCGAGGCTCTGCAGCTACAGGAGTGGCCAGAGTTCTGTGGCTGCTAGTCCCCGCGACAGCCCAGTAGAAGGGCCAGAACTCCCTGCTGCACTGCCCGCCCCTCTCTCAACATGGAGCTCCTGGCTGAATTGTGCTCCTTCCCCATCGTTCCTGCCCTGTGGCTGATCTCATTTTACCTGGACTCTGTGGTCCAGGAACATCCATTGTCCTGTTGGACACGGATGTTGCCCGACCAGAGAGTCCTGGTTAAAGGAGGTAAAACCTGCATTTTAAGAGAGTGATCTCACTTTCTTACGTGATTGCTTTAGTCTGCTCACTTCTGAGAGAGGTAAATTACTGCTTCTGAGGGACGGTAAAATCCCTTCTGCAGAAGGACATAGTCTCTTCTTTAAAAGTAACCACGCTTATGCTACATACAAGTTTCCATCTCTAGTGTAGCAGGGAAGGTGCCTTTCCCAGCTGATATCTCACTTTAGATACTTAAAGGGGAATATATTCATTTTTCTATGTGGAATCTGCTAACCTTGATGTTAATCAGATTAAACTGCTTAGTGAATGTGAATCTGGTCTGAAGCCTGCCTTATTTTTCTCTAGTGATAGAAATGTAGCCGTGTTAGTCTGGTGTAGCTAAAACAAAATACAGGACTATGTAGCACTTTAAAGACTAACAAAATGGTTTATTAGGTGATGAGCTTTCGTGGGCCAGACCCACTTCCTCAGATCAAATAGTGGAAGAAAGTAGTCACAGCCATATATACCAAAGGATACAATTAAAAAAAAGTGAACACACATGAAAAGGACAAATCACATTTCAGAACAGAAGGGGGATGCGGGGGGTGGGGAAAGGAAGGTGAATGCCTGTGAGTTAATGATATTAGAGGTGGGGAAAGATAGATGTCTGTGAGTTAATAGTGTTAGAGGTGATAATTAGGGAAGCTATCTTACCCATTACAAAGATAGCTTCCCTAATTATCACCTCTAACACTATTAACTCACAGACATCTA